TGTTGTTTAATGCCCTCACTTGGCACAAGTTAAAAGTGAAACAGATGGCGACCCTGGCGCACAACTATTTGAGCCCGTTTAGATTGGCGGCCGGTCTTGGGTGCGATTCTAGCTCTGGTAAGGCTGCTGCAGACCATAGAGTTTTTGTCAAATGTGAGATCATGCCCGTCGAGCTGGTATTGAGGCTCAGGCGGTTGCGATTTCTTCCCAGGCTTCCCAAATCAGCGCCTGCTTGTCTGCTGGCGATCCTGGACGAGTTAGCCTCAGTGCCAGAATCATGGTCCGCATTGTGTTGCGATGACCTGGTGTGGCTCAGCAGACATGTGAATTTGGCCAGGGAATTCTTACCGTCAGGGCCCCCTGCTTGGTGGTTGTGGCTCCTGAGGTCTAGCAGCAACAAGTTCTGGAAGCGAATATGCAAGCAAGCTGAATCGGCTGCCAGGGCCAAATTTTTGGACGATCAGCGTCGCGAAGAATTCAAGGACGGGTGGCGGAAGTGTTGCATCGCCAAGGGTCTTGCGCTCCCGTCGTTTTTGCGTCCGCCGTCGGTTCTCGCCTTGTATCCTTGCTTGGACTGTGGGGCGGTGTTGGCCACCAAGGGCGCATGGGCCTCCCATCGCTCGAAGTGCCACCCCCATCTTGACCCCGCCCCCAGCTATGTTTCAGGCGCTGTGTGCATGGCATGCGGCCTCAACTTCCACGCGCATCTAAGATTGCTCAAACACGTTTGGCATGGCTCATCGAAGTGCTTGGCGGACCTTATGGCCGTCATCGCACCGCTGAGCCCCGAACAGGTGATGGCTGCTAAGGCGGAGAACGCGGAGCTAGCACGCACGCTCCGAGAGAAAGGCCACTACGCGGAGTCTGCGCAGCTCCCGCCTGTCCTCACGACGGGACCTAGGCTGAGGGGAGCGGCTGCCTCCAAGGGCCTTCCCACTTGCATGCCGAGAATTTCTTGCCAACCAGTGTGCATCCAGGAAGAGATGCCCACGCGGGCAGAAGTTCACATGCCAGCGGCCCCTGGTGCTAAATACATTGTGATCCTCCGTGCAGCTCCCAGTAGCCAAGGTGACATCCAGGACAGAGCGGAGAGGTCCAGTGCCATAGAGGGCATGCATGTTTTTGTTTTGTCTCTTAATATTCTCGAGCTTTTCCAGAACTCCATTGAGGATTTTCATAAGGAGCTATTGTTCATTACTGATCTTATTCTTGCTGGGCGTGTTATTTGTCTCGTGGCGGATTTCCTCCTTTCCTCGTGGGACCCCGCCCCCCGCTGCAAAGTCAAGGGCGGTGAGCGCAGGCCTTTAAGGAGCTGCGATGAGCCGTGGGGAATTTCTGCCAGGTCGCCCTCGGAGTGGAAGCAGCTGGAGCTCGACAATGCGCGCTTGAGGGCGGCTCTGACACTGGCGCTGTGTGCGGCGTCATCGGGCCTGGCGGCTTTGCTCATTTTAAGCCCACCTGCTCCGCAAGCCAACCTGCCCTGCATATGGAAGGTCCCCGAGGTCAGGTTCCTGTGCTCCCTGCAAGATACGTCTCCGACCGCCACGTCGAGATGTGTGCCCATGGGGGACCGTCAGTGCCTGTGCATGAATGCCATGCCGATCCTGGCCCCTCCTGACAGCAGCCAGGTGGAATTCTACGCAGTTGCTGTTATCACGCAGGCAGCCTCACAACGCTGTGCCCCCACGCCTCCTGGGGATGCATGGCTGGAGGCGTCAGTTGCCCATCTATATGCCCCGCTCGGTTTGTATTGCGAGTCGGGTTGATGTTGGCCATTGCTGCTCTCCTCGTCCTCCGCTATACTTGCCGCCTGTCCCACCGCTGACGTATGCATGTGTGGACACCTCAGACATTGGTCCCTCAGGGCTGCGGGAAGAAGGAGGAGGAGGAGGAGGAGGAGGAGGAGGAGGAGGAGGAGGAGGAGAGGGAGGAGGGGAGGAATGGTGGTGGGACGGTGGCGTTGGCGAGGTCGCCGTGCTCATGTCTGTTGGCCGACATGTGGGGCCTAGGGGAAAAGGCAGGGGCCAGGGGAGAAGTGGGAAGCAAAGGACAGCCTCCCTCTCCATGCCGCCTTGCGCCGCGCCTCCACCTCGGCCTTCTCGGCCTTGCGGGCGCGGGCGGCCTGGCGATTCGCTGCACTTCTGGCGATCTGTTCCTCGCTCAAGGGAGGAGGGGCGGGCGGGGGGGGGGAGAGGGAACGGGCAGAGGCCCCAAGAAAACCTCAACGGAAGGGAGGAGAGGGAGGAGGGGGAGGAGGAGAAGGAAGAGGAGTAGCAGGAGCAGCAGCAGGAGGAGGAGGAAGAAGAAGAGGGCGAGAATGAGGAGGAGGAGGAGGAGGAGGAGGAGGAGGAGGAGGAGGGGAAGAGGAGGACGAATGCACAAACAAGGAGGAGGCGGAGGAGGAGGAGGAGGAGGAGGAGGAGAAGGAGGAGAAGGAGAACATGGGAATTGAACCAATGAGGGAGGCGGAGGAGGCGGAGGAGGAGGAGGCGGGAGAGGAGGAGGAGGAGGAACAGGAAGATGTCCAGAGTAAACCGAGTACGTATCAACGATGCTGCAAGACATCATCCCTTTTCCAAGTCCCCTTCTCATACGGCCCTACTGGCCTTCTCTTCCACTCCAGGTAACGCCCCCTTAAAGAACCAGTTCCTTATGAGTCCGCCATTCAGGCTCGAAGCCCGTTTTGTCAAGGCATTAGTTGTTTTATATCTTTCAAGTGGGTACCAAGGAATGCGGAAAAGGTACGAGTATACAGTTCAACGAGGTGTCCAGCGAAACCTCCGTTTCGAAGAAGGACCGCCTCACCTGTGTAATGTGTGCAAAAGCTGTCACATCTGGCCATGGGTATCGAGTAAACCTTAAGCGATGATCGCATGCTGACAATAAGCCGCCCTCAATCCGTGCAGCTGTACTATGTGTCCAAGCTTCTTGCTTTAAGCTTTCACGCGGGCGCCTAATTTGTCGCGAGTGCCCAATTTCAAACAAGAAGCGCCTTTAATATGTGCAGACGTTGCATCTGTTCCAGTGTTTGGTCTTCCAGCCGGAAAAAGTATAAAGAGAACGCCCCATTTTGAAATGGAACCGCCCATCACTCCTGCAGCTGCCCAAGCTTTTAAGACGACTGTGCGCGGCGCTACCGCGAGAGTAGCATCGCGAAAACGTTGCAGATTCCCCCGCTCCGCCCTTGAAGTTGTGGCATATTCGTATGCCAATATGCGCGACGCTCAGACGATAATTCCATGTTGAAAACAATCCGCCCTGTATCCTTGAAACTGTTGCAGGTGTCAAGACCGAATGTACGCGATACTCAGGCGAGAATTCAATGTTGAACGAGAACTTCCCTCCATCCTTGGACACACGGCAGATTATTATGACGAGTGTGCGCGACGCTTTGGCGAGAGCTCTGAAATCGTCTCGCCCACCATCCTCGAAGCTGTTATCTGTTACGGCGAATGCACGCGGAATTAAGGGGAGAGCTCCAATGTTGAAAGCAACCCGCTCTCCATCCTTGAAGCGATTGCGTATCTTCGGGACCGGTTTGCGCGGCGCTAAGGCGAGATCCCTATATTTTGAAAGCGGCCCACCCTCTACGCCAATATTCAGGATCTCAAGTGGCGAATTAGTCTCAGGCGAAGCGCCCAGCCCGCCCTCTCGACGCGTCTGGGGGTGCGACAGAGAGGCTTTATTCGTAAACCCGGCGCGATTGTGATTAGGGGAGCACTTTTTATTGTGTGGGCGCATTGCGTGGTATTGCCTGGCGGATTGCTTGGCATTTTGCTTGCCGTGGTGTGGCACGGCTTGGCATTTCGCGGCGCTGCTTTGCATATCAGTTAAGTGTTTGGCGTTGCCGTGCATTGCGTGGAATTGCTTTGAATTGCTTAGCGATGCGCCATGGAACCAAGACCAAGGAACCAAGGACACAAATGATACAAACCAAAGAAAAAAGGACCCAAGGAACCATGGAACCAAGGAGCCAAATACAACGAACCAAGGAACAAATCAATCAACACCAAAGAAACAAGGACCCCAGGCACTATGGAACCAAGGAGCCAAGACCGAGGAGCGGAGGACTCAAGACCCAACGAGAAGGGAAACAAGGAGCCAGGGAGCCAAGGAACCAAGACCGAGGAACCAAGGAACTAAGACCGATGAGCCGAGGAGCCAAGACTCACGAACCACAGAACCCAGACCAAGGCAAGGAGCCAAGGAACCAAGACCAAGGAGTCCATGCAAGGCCGTGTAAGGAAACAAGACCGAGATACCTCGGAGGCCCATCTGCGCGGCCGCGTCCTGTACCCACAGGTGTCTTCACAAGCAAGCCTAATTTTGGAATTAGGAAAGGGGATTGAGGAGGAGGAGGAGGAGAAGGAGGAGAAGACACGAGGATGAGTAGCAGAAGGGGGAGGAGGAGGAGGAGGAGGAGGAGGAGGAGGAGGAGGAGGAGGAGGAGGATTTTTTGATATGAACTGCAAGGTGACGAAAACAAGGCGGACGCGTGGCACCACCACCAGGCGATCTCCCACTGACCGAGAGGATCCCCAGTGTTGGCCCGCATGTCCACCTACCTCCACGGCACAGGCTCGATCGACACGCCCTTGCGAGTCGGATGGATGCCTTTGCACATCTGAATAGAGGACCAGGTCTGCTTGGCCGTGGGGTTGCTACATTATTTAGCCAGCCCTCGTACATAGCTAATAGTAGCATACGAATGGCACTTCAGGCACGCTGTAATGAAGGAGCCATCCGAAGCTAAAAAGGAAACCGCTTGATGCCCCAGAGCTCTCAGGGTAAGCCCATCGAGCTTCGAGACACAGGAGGAGGGAGAGGAGGAGGAGGAGGAGGAGGAGGAGGAGCAGGAGGAGGAGGAGGCGGAGGCGGAGGGGGCGGAGGGGGCGGAGGAGGAGAACGAGGAGGACCAAGAGGGGATCCGGCGCCAGTGGAAATCTGCCGCCCGCGGACGTCGGACAAGTCTTTGCTCGTGTGCTCTTCCGCCCGTCCAGGCTCTGGGCTCCGTGGACACGCTGCTCGATCCGACTGGCGTCGGCGTCGGCGGGTCCTCGTGCATGCTGGCGAACAGGGGCATCGTTAGGGTGAGGTAGGCTCAGGGGGGGATGCGTCGGCCCCAATCGTCCTTTCTTCGCCGCGAGGTGCCCGATTGCCCGCCCCGCCCAGGAGCGTGCGGATTTGCACTCGGGGGCCTATCGCCGATCCATCGGCGATGTATCGGTGATTCCAGGCCGACGTTCCCCCCTCTTGAGCCAGTCCTCCCCCAACTTTCCCCCTCAGGCGAACGAGAGCATCGCACGTGGAGAGACGTCCTTGAATCTCACGGGCTGTGCTTTCAGGCAGGGGAGCGACTACGTCCTCCTCGTGTACGTGGAGGACGCCGCTGGGGGCGAGGGCACCCTCTCCGCCCCCGTGCACTTCTCCGTGCCGGCATCCAACTCCTTCGAGACCCTGCCGTACCTCACCAGCACGCCCACCCAGGATGGCGTGTCATTCTCCCTGGTCGCGTCCGCCGCAATCGGGCGCCTTTGGGCCCAGCTGCTTACAGAGGCCGACGCCCAGGGAGCCACCGCGGCGTTCGTGAAGGGGGAGAGCGGCGCGCTGGGCCTGATGACGTGCCGCGAATCCGCTGTCACCATCAGCACCAGCATCCTGCAATACGCCCTCACCCAGTGTATCCTGCCGACAAACGAGACCTACGTGCTGGCAGTGTACATTGAGGACATCTACGGCAACGACGACGGATCGCTGCACAAGCTTGACGTGCTCCTACCCGCCAGCGTCAGTAACTACTTCACGGAATCCCCTGTTGTGCTCGGCGATGCCTCCACAGACGGTGCCCAAGTCGCGTTCACGGCGTTTGCAAGCATGGGCTACGCGTGGGCCGTAATGCTCGGATCCGCGTCGCCCGTGGGCAGCATCACAGACATAAAGCGGGCAACTGGATCGTTGGGAGCCTCGGGGTGCAAGTTCGCCGAAGTCTACGTCGACAATGCCCGCTTATCGCTGGAATTCTCAGGTTGCTCCCTGGCACACGGAAACACGTACGTAGTGGTTGTCTACGTCGAAGACCATCTTGGCAATGGGGACGGGGTGTACGACACCGTGAGTTTTTCCGTCCCAAACGACACCGTGGACTACGCTGATCCAATGCTCAGGAATTATACAGGACTACTTCGATTTCTTGCAATGCGTTGTGCAGAGTGCGTGCATGCTGCCACGTTGACGCATACATCGGGGTCGGATCGTGACCCTCTGTTGCGTGGGCTCAAGCAGGAGGAAATGAGATGTATTCGTGTGTGTATGTGTGTGTGTGTGTGCGTGTGCGCTTCTGCATGTTCAGCGAGCTGTTAGAGGGGCAGCAAGGCGGATGAGTCAGAGGTGGTCAAGAAGGCGAAGCTAGAACGAGCAGGCAGGAAGAGGGAGGATGCAGGAGGACGATTATGATCAGGAGAAGCAGGAGGAGGAGGAGGAGGAAAAGGAGGGCCAGCGGGAAAGAACGTGCATATACGATTTGTGGTTAGCAGCAGGGACAAGGATTGATGATACGGGAGATTTCGATTACAAGGCTTATGCCGTTACGATGATGATGCTGTTGCTGCTGATGATGTTGCGGATGTTGATGATGCTGCTGATGATGATGTTGCTGTTGATGACGATTATGATGATGATGATGATGATGATGATCATGAGGATGATGATGATGATGATGATGATGATGATGATGATGATGATGATGTTCATGATGATGGTGACGAGGAGGAGGACGAGGTGGAGGAAGAGGAGGAGGATGCGGAGGAGGAATATGAGGATAGGGAGGATAGGGAGGAGGTTGGTCATGGTGAGGGTGATGATGATGAGGAGTATGATGCTGATGATGATGATTCTGATGGTAATGATGATGATGATGCTGCTGATGATGATGATGCTGATTCTGATTATGATTATGATGCTGCTGATGATGATGATGATGATGATGATGATGATGATGATGATGATGCGACTGATGATTATGCTGGTAATGGTGGTGTTGATGATAATGGTGATGGCGATGTCGTCGGTGATGATGTTGATGATGAGCAAGAGGACGATGAGAAGTAGGGGGACAAGTACGATGATACAGATGACCAGGCGGAGGAAGAGGAGAAGGATGAGGAGGAAACGATGAGGAGGAGGAGGATGTCTTATGATCCGCCGGTTGTAATAAGAAGCTCTTGAGGGCACCAGGGGCTCACGGGGGGATCTAGTGGTGAGGGCGGATGATGATGCGGTGTATACTTACCTTGATGGGGGAAGGGGGCAGGGGGTGTAATGGCCAAGGAGACTTGAGATGCTGATGATGCTGATGGTGAGGAGGATCGGGGGCACAAAATGGCCGTGAACGAGCCCGTGCAACCACCCCTGGCGGCTCCCCTTAGGGGTGCTGAAACCAGCGCCCCGCCCGAGACATCCTCACAATCTGCTCTCCAAGCGAAGGATGTTGGGCCCAGAAACAGGCAAACCGCCTGAGACATCCCGCTTTTCCTTAGTTTTCCTTAGCTTTTCCTTAGTTGTCTTTAGCTTTTCCTTAGTTTTCCTTAGCTTTTCCTTAGTTTTCCTTAGCTTTTCCTCAGCTTTTCCTTAGTTTTCCTAAGCTTTTCCTTAGTTTTCTTTAGTTTTCCTTAGCTTTTCCTCAGCTTGCCAGCAGCATGGATACGGAGTGACGAGGAGGGGATGGCGATGGGCAGAAAAATAATGATAAGGAGGACAATTCGAGGAAGAGAAGGACGAGGATTTGGAGGAGGAGGAGGAGGACCCCTGAATTTTAGAGGTGGTTCCAGGAGGCTCACGGGAACACTAGGGGCTTCTGAAGGTTCTGGGGGTAATGGAGGAGGAGTGTGAGGATGATGATGGTGAGGAGAAGTAGGAGGAGGCGGTGGAGGCGGATGTTAAGGATGAGCGGTGGGGGAGGGTATGGTAGAGGATGCGAAGGGGGAGCACAATTATGGTGGCCGCGGTGGTGGCGCTGATGGTGATGATGCTTAGTATGACGACATTGTTGCTTCAGAGCACGGTCATTGATGCTAATTGTGGCGATGCCGATGATGATGTCGGTAATGGTGTCAGAGGGGGGTTGGGATCACGACGAGGGATTGATGAGCATAATAGGGGTGAAGGGAAGGCGGGGGGCGAAGTGGGCGGGCAATCCCTGGCTGCCTTGCTGAGTGCGCCTCTTTCTTTCGGTCGCCCTGATCCGCCGATCGACCGGGATCCGAGCGTTTAGCGTTGGATGTGCCCTTCAAATTTCCTCGCTTTACATGTCTGGGCCTTCCCCCCCTTCCCCCCCCCTTCCTTCGTCGCCAAGGCTGGGAAGAGTGTGCGGGTGGTTGGTTGGATTGGGTGGGTGGGTGAGTACGATAAGGATGGGTATGCTTATGATGATGAGGTGGAGGCGGGGATGAGAATGATGTGATCAGGACGATGGTGGTGATTAGGCTGCAGGTGATGGTGATGATGGTGATGATGCTGATGATGAGACAGATTGTGATGATCATGCTGATGACGATGCTGTTGCTGCCGATGGTGACAACGACGACGATGACGACGATGTCGATACTGGTGTTGCTGCTGCTGTTGCTGATGGTGCTGCTGTATATGATGATGCTGATGAAGATGATGATTACGATGATGACGCTTGCGATGATAACGATGCTGATGATGTTGATGATGCTGACGATGGTGATGATGCTTGTGATCATGATGATGTGCATGCTGCGGCTAATGATGTTGATGCAGTGGGTGGTGATGATGCTGATGATGATTATGATGATGATGGTGTTGATGATACTGGTGATGACGAGGATGCTGATTACCACGGGGGCGCTGATCATATTGGTGACTATGGGGACGACGATGATGCTATTGTTGTTGATGCTGATAGTGTTGATGAGTGTGACGAATATGATGATGAATACACACCGAGCCTGGTGGCAGTTGAAGTCGGGACGAGTACCATGACGTGGAGGAGTATGCGATGATGGTGACGACGATGAAGACCAGATGGAGGAGAAGGTGGAGGAGGATGAGGAGCAGGAGGTTGAGAAGGATGAGGAGGAGGATAATGCTGCTGATGATGACGATGGAACGCGGAGCGTCAGCACACGGCCTGCAGCCGCCCGCGGAGCGGAGAGCCGGGCCGCGCGAAACAGAGAACGCTCGCAGACTACGGCGTGACCGTGGGCCTCGACTACTACTACCACGTGCGAGCGGCGATTGCGGGGCTGTTCCCCCAGCCCCTCCCCGCCGCCCCCTTCCTCCCAAGACTCCACGAAGTCTCGCGGTTCGAGGTTCGAGGTGTTCGGGTGCCTTCGCAGGTTTCCGGCGGCTTTCCCGCCTCGGGGTGCTTTCCAGCAGTTGCGCCTCGCCAGGATCGTTCCGGGGTCGCTCAGGTCGTCCCGAACGGCCGCCGGAGAGCCGAGCTACGGCCCGAAAACCACGAAGGCCCCGTCTCTTCCCAGAATCGGCGGCGAGCGAGGGGTGGAAATAACAAGGAGAAGGCCTTCTCGGAAGGCGGCGGAACTTCTCAGAAGCCTTCGCGCCGTCTGAGAAGTTTTTCCTCGGTCCAGGGAAGGCTTAAATCACTTCTCAGAAGGCCTGGGGACTTCCGAGCCTTCTGAGAAGGCCGCCGCCGACAGAAACCCTCGCGTCGTGGCAGAAAAACCACGGCGGACGGCATTTCTTTGGCGTCCTCGGCCTCTGGGGGCCCTCCTGCCGTGCCCCGCGGCCGTTCACAACGAGAGGTCGAGAGCCCCAGGTGGGTTCCATTCTGTGAGCCGGAGAGCATAACGCCGGGGATCTGGGTCCTCCTTTCCTGCTGCCTCTCGCTTCCTCTTCCCCTTCCCAGCCCGCATTCGCCCTGCGGGTGCTGCCCATCCTTCCTCTGCCTTCCTCCGTCCTCTGCCTTCGTCATATTTTTCCTGCCTCCTACCCTCCTCCGTCTCGTGCATCCCTTGCTGAACCTCCCTCTCTCCTGCTCCTCCTGCTTCTTCTCCCTTTGTCAAGCTTTCTTTCTTCTCCAGCTGCCGCAACCTCCTCCCCTTGTCGAGTCCAAACGGTTCGACCCAAGGCGTTTGTTTTCCTTTATGTGTTGTTTCTCTCTCTCTCTCTCGCTCTCTTTCTCTCTCTCTCTCTCGCTCGCTCTCTTTTTCTCTCTCTCTCTCTCTCTTTTTTTTGTTTTCTCTCTCTCTCTCTCTTTCCGTCCCTCTCTTGCTCTATCTCACTCTCTGTTGGTTTCTCTCTCTGTGTCTCCCCTTCTCTCTTTCTCTCTTCCCTCTTTGTCCTTCGCTTGTTCATTCGTACTCCCTTTCTGCCTTTCTCCCTCTCTCTCTCTCTTCTGTCTCTGTCTCTGTGTTTCTCTCTGTCTTTGTGTGCCTCTGTGCCTCTGTGCCTGTCAGCCTTTCTCTCTCTCTCTGTATCTCTCTCTCTCCATCTCTATCTCCATGTATGTTGTTTTGCTTTCTCTCTCTCGCTCTTTCTTCACCAACCCAACCGATACCATCCTATCCGTTCTTGCCGTGCTTTCCGTCTATCTCTCACGCACCCGACGCTTTTTCGGCCTTGGGGAAGATCAGGCTCCACGGAGTGCTCGCAGGCCTCGATGTTGACTCCTCCTCGCTGCGGGTACCCAGTGGCAGCGAACCTCCCGTGATATTGGACACGTTACGCATTCGGAGAACTCTCTCAGAGCTCGAGTTGCGCCAGCCTTCGACATGGATGGCGACGGGAACTTTGAGGTTTACGCGGCGTTTACGCGCTCTCAGAATGCACGTGCGTCCGCAAACTTATCTTTCATATCACGGGCTGACTGTCGAGTGCTTCCAGACCAGCTGACTATCCATGCCATTGACAGTGTCCTCGGCGCTTCTAAGAACGTGTCTTGGCGAGACTTTGTCGGACGCTACGTATTCCACATACCTGAACAATGACTTTCTTAGATCGTGCAGACATCGACGGCTTTCTACAACCTGATGAGTCCCGTACTCTGGAGCTTGGAGGAGGCATGGAGGAAGTTCCAGGCCGAGGCCACCAGCCGAGAGCAGCAGACCTAGGAGAGGAGCCTTGCGAGGCTCAGCCTCCGCGAGATGCACGGACGGGCGGCAGCAGCTCCACTCCAGAGTCAGACGTCCCGTGGATGAAGAACCACCCTTTGATGATTACGATGCACCCGAGGTTGAGGAGTCGGAGTTCAAACGGTTCGTGATGCCGTACCCGCACCTGCAGCCTGAGGCCCATAATCAAGCAATGTCCGTCTTGAAGATGACCTTGACCAAGAGCTCGGGTCACACCCAGGGGGAGGCATGTGCTCTACTACGTTCCTGGCTGTGGGTTCGCGGGCACCACCGTCGTTTCCGTACCTTTCTCACAACGTTCCTTTCTGTTCTGTGCCAATTCGTCGTCTCCAAACCCTTAGGGTTCCGTGTGCTTAGAGGAGTGGTTCTCTGGAGCACCATCGGAGTGGTCCTCACCATGTCGGGAGTGAGCCGCCTCCGACATGAGACGTTCCAGCTCAGACCAGCACGTTTTGCGCGACGTGTCTTCCTCATGCTACCTCCGGAGTGGCGTTCGATTGGGACGAGGGTATAGTCAAGAGTATGGTGCTGAGCATTCTGGGCCATAATTTGAGCCCGCGCAAAGCTGTCGCCAACATTCCGGGGTCCTACACCACACAGTACGTTGGGAAAGCATGTCTCAGATCGGGGGCCTTTCCAGGACTGCTAGGAAGAGTTCAGGAACACATCCGAGCGCGCCTCCATCCCCGTGTTCGACCAGGGAATCGACTTCGCTACCGCGAGTTACGTAAGAGTGGTGGTTACCTGTTTTTCCTCACGATCCTGTGGGTCCCGCCCCAGGGCGTGCCCTTCCATTGCGAGATGCTCGCGATCCGACGATTCGACCTACCCGCGAACCGCGCCGATGCGAAGGAGTCCGAAATGGTGAGCCTCCGTCGGGGTATTGGGGCCCTGCGTCACCCGCCGGGACCTGAGCCTGCCTCCCCAACGCCGACGTCCCTCCTGGAGACGCCCCCCGCCCCGTCGGATCCCCCCACCAGTCTGGCTTACGGCCGCGCCAGCAACGACGCCTGTTTCCGACGTTCCCCGGCGAGGCCCCCTCGAAAGGTATCGTGGGGCCCTTTTTCAGAGCCTGCTCCCTACTCGACGCTGTGCGTACTGCAGATTCGAGAAAGGTTCCACGACATTCAAGAAGAAGGACCCCTACGGATTCTGGAGCCTCAACGGCTGAGCCTCAACTGGCATTCCTGGCGGGCCGCTGGCGATCCTTACCGACATGCTGGTATTCTTCTCGAGCTGCAGTAGGACAGCGGCCATTCCTTGCCACGGTCCTGGCCGATGCGTTCCCCTTCGTATTTACCAGGGTGCGGATGGACATATTCCATGCAGATAGACATTTCCAACGTCTTGGCCTCCCAGCTGCACCACGGCCGATGCTGAAGTTACCTTATGAGTGCCAGGCAAGAGACTTGTGGTGCGCAGTTTTACTCAGAGGATGAATCAGTCGATGAAGTTCGAACCTGCACGGAGTTGGCACGATCGCTCGCCGCGCGTCGCCTTCCGAGCCAGAAGGGCGTGGAAGGACAGGGCTGTGCCAGCTGCTTTTGTGTGAGCTACGTGTTAGATTCCCTCCCTCCCTCAGTCAAGGAATCCAAGTTTGTCTCGGGGCCTCTCAACCTCCAGCAACTACCAGGCTCGCGGCGACTGCCTGCGCGGTTTTGCCCAAGTTCTCTCTTCGAGCGGCAGTTACGGGACCCCTTGAGTGGACCCAATCAGCTCGCATGGCTCCGACCGCGGTGCGAGGAGGTCTCAGACGCCCGAGGCAGAGTTTCCGCACCAGCCGCGGAATGGAAGCAGCCTCTCTCCTTCCCTCTCCGCGTCGACAGTGGCAAGATCTAGAATCTGCGATGGTTTCCTCCCTCAGCCAACCCAGCGACATCATCTTCGTTGCTTATGACAAACAAGTAGACAAGATCTGGACAGCGAATGGAGCCGGCACTATTCGACGGCTCCACCAAACAGCAGAATTGGACGATGTTCGGCAGGCAAGGCTTGATATCTCCAAATATGATGCAGGTGTATGGCTCTGGTCTCGGGCTTTCAGTGGACTGCCCTCCTGGCCTCGTTCCCGGGACATGCCCCCCCCGCCGGACCAGGCAAACAAATGCTACCCCGCCCGACCGAACAAACAATCCCTCCTTCGTCTTCCCCACAGTGAAGAGTAAGTGCTTCCTCCCACATGGGAGGGGCCGCCGCGTCAGGGCGCAGTTGCACGCGGCGGATTGCGATGCCCCCGGCACGTCGGGCCACCGCAATGTTGGGCGAGCGGGTCGGCATTTGCTACAGACGGGCGGAATGTCGCGCGGAGTCTTCGACGTGCGTGCCGCATCGAAGGAGATTGTCTAACAAGAAGGTGTCCGAGTTCGACCCTCTGCGGGATGATCGATGCTGGCGCTGCGGGTGCCCCCCATCGATCCCATATCCATCGCTGTCACAGACGCTGGTCGGGCTTGCGAGCAATGCAGCGCTCCCGCGAGTGGCCAGGCTTGGAAAGACCTGTCACGCGAAATCCAAGATCGTTTCGGTACAGATGCAGCTCTTGTCCAATTTAGGACAATAGAGCCAAACGAGGAACTTCTTCGGTGACCCCCCCCCCCATACTACGATATGGTCGACCTGTCCGTGATCTCCAAAACTATGTTTGCATACTGTTGGCTCTCTCTAGTGGCGACGCGTTATCATGGGTGGCTTTCATTTATTCTTCTAACCAGGTTTGAGTTCCAAGCTACCTCCCCCCCTTATCGCTTTGAAGCTTCAGGTTATCAAATTTCCACGACGTCACGCTCCATTGACATCCGCCAACGTTGGTGCGGGGTGACGTCCTGGGAGTCAGCAAGGCGCGTTGTCGCGCATGCGCGTACGTGTATTTACCAGCGGTGCACCGGGTCAAGCTATCCCCAGCGTCCGACGTCAATGTCCCGACTACTTCGCGTCTGTGAATCGACTTGGAACTGTGGCCCTCAGGTGATCAAGTTTCGTTGGTACCGACCAGGCGATGACCGCGCAGGGCTCCTCCAAGAACGATCGACCCTTCGCCCAACAACTGCCGCGCTGCCGTTGCCTGGATGCCCGGGGGGTTTTGTGTGCTTCAGGAACAACCGATCATGAGTTCGAACCTGGATATACATCATATTGCCAAGATAATCATATTTGCAACTTCCCAAGACATCAGTCTATCACGAAGATCAGGATGTGGAAATTCAAGCACAGCAAAACAATCCCAGCATACATAATATCAAGATCGATCAAGATCCGTTCGACATTCGCATTCAAAGCGCAACTCTTTAGCAATAATGAAATCTCACGGTAAGAGTCGGCCCCTCGCATACGGTCTATCAGGTCGTCGCATTCTTTTGGCTGTCGCACATAGTACATCTCCATTCGGACTTGCATCGCCATCAACTCTGTCCTGCGTTCTGCTACACGATGTGCGCCGTACGTGATCCACCCAGAGCTCGACGTGACTCTCGGTTGCGAGGTCCACCAGCTCACAGGCACGCTGTAGAACTCGGTGAGCTGCTCTCTGAAATCCGCGAAGGCGGCGCACTCCGTGTCACAGTGACGTACAGATGGCCAGAAAGCTTCACCACAGCACGGACAGTGCGGATCACAAATGAAGTCATGATCTCCTCCGCGCGTGTGGGAGCTGGCCGCTCCACACATATATATATATCATCACCTTTTGCCACTCACTCGGGGCGAGTGCATCGCGAAACTTCTTCCAAGCTTTGCCCGAGAGGGCCTCCACATCGACGTCCTCCATGCCAGGGTAGTCTCGTCGTGCCGGAGTCGATTTTGTCAAAGCCTTCAGCCGACACACAGCACGTAGAACATGAAATGCTCGATCGCCTTCAGAAGTCCAAAACCCACGACGGTTCTGAAAGATACGCTTCACTCTCGGATCATCCTCATCCTCCATCATCTGAAATCTGACCCCCCTCTCGGTGTCGTACCGCACGAAGTCCAGGCCCACAGCCTCGAAGAAATTCTGCAGGTTGTGCTCGACCCAGGGGTCGAAGTCGATCTCCCAATCCGTAAGACGACGGGCCGCCGTCAGGACATTTGAAAAGACTGGATGGTACTGAATATGTAGGGCCCAAAAGCGGCCTCGACACCACCAGAGGCATCGCGTACGTAGTACTGAACTCATAAGCTTCGCCGCCACATCTGCAGGTGGTAACGTGAACACAGGACAACACCATAGCCACCTCGGTACAACATACGCACCCGCAGCTCGTAGTCGAGTCGTCGAACTTCCAGGCAACTGTCGCAACGCGGCGATGGCTGCATACACCTTCCTCCAACCTCCCGCTGGGGTGACGGGGGCCGTGGGATCATCTGGCACCGCTTCGACTCCGATATGCTCGATGCGACGAAACTCACCACGATGCCATTCTTGACGCTTACCTTTGTTCTCCACGGCCCCCGTCTCGAGGTCGAAACGGTCGGTCGTGTCGATGTCGTTGCGTAACTGCTGGTCCGACTCGCAGACCAACGAGCGATCGTCCATGAACAAGAACTGCTCACACGGGGCCAAGACAGAGCAGAGCACCTTGGGCGCGCAGGAGTCGCCCTGCGCCAGCCCTCGAGATGGCCACACTTCCTCCTTGGCAAGAGCACCGGCCACCTGACATCTTCTCGGCCCCGTCCACGCAGCAAAAGAAACCGCCACCAGGTCCGATGGCACATCTGCAGCATGGAGCGACGCAATCCCCACCTCGTGGGGGACCTGATCGTAGCACTTGCTGAGGTCACGCCCCATGCCCGTCTGAGCGGTGATGCACGCCTTCAGCCAACTACACACAGCTTGACACACTGATGACTCCGTCTTGCAGGCATACTGAGCTGCCTGCGGGGAGGGAAATGCTTCTTCACATGCTGTCAACCAACTTGTCAACAGTGCACTCGCCACCCCAATCGGTCGGGATGCTCCGCGCTTCTTCGGGATACCCACAACTCTCCAAGAGAAAAGTAACTTCTGCAAGCTCACCACATCCTCGGACCTCTCCTCCACGGGGACAGTCTTGAACATGCCATTGGCGCCGAGGAACTTCGTCGTGTCAAGCCAGAGGTCGTGCAACTCCTGCACCGGGAACTCGAACGTCACGGCCATCATCTTCAATTCTCGCGCTGTCCAGCCGTCATAGCCAGCGCTTCCTTTCCCACGAGCAATGGCCCGCAGGAGCTGCTCCCAGCTCGGCATCCAGCCCGCCTGGGCCTTACTCCGAGGGAGGGGGCGACGCATCCGCCGAGCATGCTCCACCCACGAAGTCGAGCATGCCTCACCGTTAAAGCCCTCGGGGCGCCAGATCTTGCGCCACTCCTCAGACATGTCATCGGCTGTGAAGGCAGGGCACTCCGTCGGGTCATGCATGACTGAGCTCGCTGCTCTCCACCACTCAGGGTCAATAACTTCTTTGGCAAAAATCTGCTTCCATGATGAACTATCCTCCGCCCGCAGACGGCGCTCCAGCTTAGCAATCGCATCAGATACTCGATCATGTGCTCGGCCAAAACTCGGTAATCCAGCACGCCCATTGTCAATAACATGCCGCAGGCAGTACTCGATGAACACGCCGAGCTGATGGCCATCCAACTTCACGTTCGGTGGGCTCCGTCTCAACTGCTCTGCTACGCTTCGGCCCAACCTCTTCAGCCTGGACAAGATGATGGGCTCGTTCGGCCTGCGCTTCGAAGTGGATGCAACAGGCCTTTCTTCAGGGTTCGATCCTTTGGGTCACTCGGCGCCCCCACTTCGTATGAGTATGCCCGACTCGACCCCCAGCTCCATCACGCGGTTGGCCCGTGCGTGCCAGCGTGTCCATATTTGCGTCATCGTGTGGGCCCTCCCCAGCATAGGTAAGGTCTGATCCACATCTGCCCGCAATACTTCAACATCCTGAGGTAAGACCAACGTATTCTGATCCAGCTCAAAAACAGATGTCCGCTTCAACCTCGTCGTGGGACCCACCATCGCACTCCAGGATGTCGTGCGCAACACCAGGCCATGGCAAGGGATACCCTGCACAAAGACCGTAGAGATATGCTGAACAGCGACACCCGACGCACAGATTCTGGTCGGAAAGGTTCCCGCCAGTGTCGTCGGCGCTGTCATCTGGCATACGGTAGCATGGATTGGTACACGCTGCTGATATGACTGCCTCCAATTCAAATCCCCAAGGATAATCCAGGGCTTCCCAGCAGCGATAATTTTGGTCCAATCAAACACTTCATCCATCCATTCAGTACTTGGGACCGACGCGGGTCCATATGCAGATACAATCGTACCAAAAGCTCCACGTACGCCCATGTACCTGTGACTCTCAGATCGAAAAACTTTGACTCCACCAACGCGGGGTCGCCAAAACAAAGCAGCCCCCCCTTGCATAGTAACAGACTTCGCATTCTTTCCAGGCGGTACACTGACAGCGCACCTCCAACCCAGTCTCTGAGCCGTAGCTGACGCCCACCGTGGTTTCTCCGTATGTAGGCGTACCTCCTGCAGGGCCAGGAAGTCCACCTCCTTCAGGTCGTCGTGCGTGAGCAGCTCCTCCAGCCTGGCGGCGTTCAGAGCGGTGACGTTGATCGTGGCCAAGCGCATCTGGCCGCTCACTGCCGGTGCCTCCCCACCCCCGCGGAGCGGGTCGCGGGGGTCGGGGCACCCTCAGCATGGCGGGCTCGACGCAGACGCTGACGCCGAGGCCGACGTCGTCCGCGCAGCAACCTTCTTCTTCCAGGCCTCCTTCCCGCGCTTGCGCTTCTGGATCAGGTAGCGCTCGCGCTCGGGGCCACTCCTCAACCTCCTCTTGTCCAGCTTCTGGTTCTGGATCCGCTTCCTCTCTTTGTGCTCGGGCCGCTTGGAGTACTCGGCCCAATACTTCCTTCTCTTCTCACGCTTGTCAGGTCCGAAGTTGGCCTTCTTCTTCTGGATGCGCTTCTGCTCCTCCTCAAAGTAATGCCGCATACGTGATACTCCGACCGTACTTGTTAAGAACTGCTTCCGCGTAACTTTATTGCGTCTCCCACTGCATATATTCCAAGGCGCCTGCCCCAGCGCCCTCTGGATGCCACACCGAGTACATTTGTAGGCCGTGTAGTTCTTCGTCGAGTTTGGGATCGTCAACACCGTACGAGGATCATACTCACACACAGCCTCCTGAATACTGATAGGTAGCTTTGCCTTCCACAACAGATGCTTGGCACACCCACGCTGGCGTACATTCTCACGAATCCTGGCGGAGTTGGCGAGAAACTGGGAGATTTGCGAGTGCACGATCTTCCCGATCTTAGGCGCAGGCTTGCCCTGGCACTTCCTCCAGTGCCTGTCCGCCTGTACGCTGAGCAAGGAGTTGTACTTGCGCTTGCCCATCATCACTCTGTCGGACGTGTCAGGCGCCCAACCACACTTATCACACTTATAGTATTCACCAGTTTGCCAAGACCAAAACTGTTTGAATGCATCATCATCGTCTCCTGCAGCTTCCTCCGCCAGAGCTTCAGCTCCACCAGACTCTAAGCCCAGAATACTACGCATCTCGTCCGCACGCTCGTCCAGTCCCAGGATACTCGCAATGGCACCTGAATGTGCTGTCGGTGTACTGTGCAGACCAAGAAGAGATAACATATCAGCATCGTCACCATCCCCCTCACCACTCCCTTGCAAGCCGTGCTGGGGGTACGGGAAAGCTTGGTCACGCCACAGACGTAACGTGTTCTGATACTCAGGCAGGTCTTGGATGCCTGCTCGAGGCTCCAGCCACTGGTAGTGCTGGTCCTCCAGGGTCAACCAGATCTCCTTCTTCTTCATCTTGGAGTTCGGCTCTCGTCCGTACAATATCCATTTGCCATTCGCATCTTTTGCCCAACAAATATAAATATCCGTCTTCGCCTCATGCGCCAGTAACCTCACCGCCAGGGCCCCCGCTGGGTTCCCCGTTGTGCCGTGGTACTCCGCCTGCAGCTTCGTCGCGCCGAACGCCTTCTTCAAGCCAGCCCTCTGCGCCGACATACGGAGGTGACCCTGGATCGGGCCCTTCGGCTCGAAGGCGTTGATGGGCGGCACTCGCCCGCTCGGAGCAACATGATGCAGGCCGCGACCTGCAGCGATATAAAAAAAACAATCTCCATCACCTGCACACTGAACAACTTTGAACCACTTAGCATATGGTGTCACATGTTTGCCCACTGCTTTGCCATCTTCACCTCTCTGCAACTTTGGCTTTGATTCGACCTTGGTCTCCTCCTTCGCCTCGGTCTTGACCTCATCCTTGGTCGGCGTGACTGTCGATGCTCCAGCAGTCGGCGCAGCAGTTGGCGCGGCCGTCGAGGCTGCCTGCCCCCCTGCTTCGTCATCGATGTTCTGGATCCTCGGCTTCGCCGCACCCCACGCACTCCTCGTCGTAGGTGCTGGACCCTCCTTCGGCTTCTGTCGTGCTGGTACTTGAGGTCTCACAGCCTTGGTCACCAACACTCCACTTTTGAAGGAGAAACTCGCCGCCACCACACCCTGGGGCGGCTCAGCATAGAATAGCCAGGCCCTCGGCCCAGCTCTAGTTGGCTCCTGAACTCGCAGGAACCCTCTCTCCGTAGCCCAATCCGCCACAAGCTGTGGCGTCGCCCAGGTCGGGAGAGCATGTTTGATGTAGTACTTCGTGAGCTCGAGCATGCCAGGGGCATTGATCTGCGTAGTCGCGCCAAGTTTGGCCCGACCATATGGACGATATACCATCAGATTCCGCTGCTCTTTCAACAACCCACAAACTCTTTTAAGATAATCCTTCGGCGTCTCCTCCTCATTTTGTGTGAACCACTTTGGGGGCGTCGTCGATGCTTGCTTCATGATAAAACAGCCCAGTGGCGGCATGATCTCACCCACCTTTACCTCGAAACTCTTGGGGACCGTGACCACACAAGTCGTCTCGGCCTCATATGCGATAGCACCCCGCGTACGTACAATCTGAGCCGCTGTCACTTCACCCAACGCCACCGTCGGCAAGGCCTGGGGCTGGTTATAGATCTGGTGGTAGAGCGTCTCGTCCGTCATCTCCTGCACCACAGTGATGCGGAAGCTCACGAGGGACAGCTTCTCGTGCTGCACCACCTCGTCGTCCTTGATGGCCGCGTCGAGGCCCGCTCTCCTGGGAGCGCGCTCTCCGTGGTATACGATGCGGGCCTTCATCTTCTTTGGGCCTTTCGGCCCATGGAGGAGTACGTAATCTTCACCTGATGCATCCAGAACCACATGCGTAATGTCCGTCCTGTTGCCGTATGCTCGTCTCACTTGCTCCGCTGCCGTGAACTCCGCCTCTGTCGAAGAGAAGATGATCAGCGGGTCCGTGTTCGTCTCCAGCTTGGTGCGGGCCTGGCCCGCGGCTACCAGGGCCGCAGTCCCCCAGGGCTCCGCAACCGATCGCTCCGTCGTCGTCGTTGTCGGCGTCGTGGTAGTCGTCGCCTCCTCCAGCGGGCTGTCAGGTTTGGCCTCGCTGAAGGTGGTGATGAGCTCCCGCAGCTTATTGCAGACCACCGTCGTCGTGATGGCCTGCCTCTGAGCGCCGGTGGCGGTGTCCACATGCCCGATGAGACTCCGCAGGCGCTCGATGATCTGGATGTCCGTGTACTTGACCTTCTTCTTCTTGGGCTTGGCTTTCTCGGCGCGCATGGCGGGGGGCGCCTGCCACGCCGTCGCAGGGGACTCCTGCGGCAGCCCGATGTGCTGTTGGATCGCACTCACAGCCCTCACCAGACCCTGGAGAACTGAGGCTTGATCCGATCGGCGCGTCGTCTTCTTTGCACCGCCCTTGCCGCCTCCCCCAAGGAGAGGGTCGACTGGCAGCGCGCTCCATGTAGTCAAAGGGCTCCCACTTGTGGAATTCGCACAAGCCGCCACCCTGCTCATAGTATGGCTTCTTTCGTCATACTCGTCCCCCAACGTGGGCCTCGAGGATAAGCAATCTCGTTCTGGAAAATCACAAAATTGAACACCGTGGAGTACATGATCATGCTGATCAAAAACGTGGTGTACATGATCTCGTGGATCAAGAACCTGACGATCTTCAGTACCTGCCCAGACCCCAGGGTAGTACTTCACATCACAGGGCTCCCAGTCGAAGTACACGTGTACCTCATCCCCAGCAAAACTCGTGACATCGTCACCGCCCACGCAGCACGCAGTCGAAGACGTACGGGTCGTCCGCCATCTCCACCGCATTCGCCACAGCACCCTCCCGAGGAAGAGCACCGTGCCCGCCAACGCCATGACCATGCCGAAGCGGTCTGGGGGCTGCTGCTCGCTGGCTTGCCTGGATGCCCCCCCCCCCCCGTGGATGCAACCTCCTGGCGCCCCTGTTCTCGGGTCGGATCGCAAGAGCCCAGTGCCTGGAACTGCCTGTCTTGGTTGCACAATCCTGAGTTTTGGAATTTGCCCTCGAGCTCGTGGTCCTAGGGCGCCCCATCGGGCGTCATCCCAGAGGCGATCCACGCGCGCCCGTGGCCCGTCGCCGTCCAGGAGGCTCGAGCGATCGTGATGCGTTGGAATCGCTACTCCCCCCCCCCCCCCCCCGAGACCGCCATGTCCGACGGCCGACGCCAGCCGCGGATCAAGCATCAGGGATGCGATGATCGCGCGCGCCAGACTTACGGGAGCGACAGCGGAGGCGACCGCTACCAGGACCGTCGAGGGCCACCAGGGAGGAATGAGGATCGCAACGATTGGGGCCGTGACCGAGATCGCCTTCATAGCTTATGCACGAGACTACCGCGAGGTGCATGACTACCGCGAATACCGCGACATCTAGGACCACCGTGGGCACCGTGGTCGCAGCCCCATGCGCCGCAGAGGGCTCGACCGCGAGTCCCGCAGCAAGGGGTCAAGCGGCGGTCGTAGCAGGCGTTCGAGGTCGAGCTCGCGGCGCCGGGGGGCGGGGCGCCGCCGCGACGCTCTCGCTGCGCTTGGCCCTGACTACCAGGCGCGCATGGAGGACGGGGCGGGTCGGGCGGAGGAGACGCTGCTTCGCAAACTAAGGGAGCACCTTGCGAGGGCGACGACGTCACCCCTCGGAGACAAGCTCGCCACGGCAATCGGGGGGGCCCACTCGATCATGGATGTCAGCACGAAAGGGCGCGAAGCCAGCCCCGCGCCAGCGCACATCCCCCCGGCCCGGCGGCCCTCCCGACGCGCCCCGAGATCGGCGGGCCCCAGTCCTTGGCAGGGCCCAAGCATCAGCTGCCCAAGAGGCCGACGCGGGGTGGTGCAGCGGAGACGCTCGAGCACGCAATGAAGAACAAGGCAGTGGCGGGCGAAATCCACCAGTGCGCCCCATCCCACTTCCCGCAGAAATCCATGCCAGCTTTGAAGCAGAAGAGGGCGGTCCTCACCTTGGACATCGTCAATAGCCGCGCGCTCTGAGATGGCATGGGCACGGCCGCTGGCGCTGCTGATTCAGGTGAGGGCGATGAAGATTTGGCACTGGCAGCTCAATTGCAGTTGGAATGGGTGTTCCTGTCTTTTGCGCGGTTTCTTCTTGGCGCGTGCAATATGGTTCCTGGCCCCTGTCAACGAGTGGGGCGCGGCCCAGGTGGCGAAGGCCTGCCTCGCCCTCAACCGCGCGCGCGCGTGAGGCAGGCGTTGTATAATTCCTCTCACAAGGCTGTCTCTTCAGTTTTCTTGTGAATGATCGGGGGCAGGCCGTGCTCAGACATATGTTGAGAGGTCTTGCAGGTGCAGCGATGCCAGTGCTCGCAGGGCAATTGCCAGGCGCCAGCGCCCCCTCGCACTGTCACCGCGCGGCGTTTAACCGTCGCCAGGGAGCCCCATCGGAGGCCCGGGCCAGCATGCGACGAGTCTTCCTGGGATGTCGGCCTTGCTGGGTCTGGGGAGCGTGAAATTTGGACTCCTCCTCACTTTGCGACGCATATCTTACCTGGGGTATGCTCCCGCTACCTCCCTCCTTCTGTCCTCCCGTCTGTTTGAGCGATCACCTAGGTTCTTCTCAGTGCGAGGTCCATGGCATGATGGCCATCACTTGCGACTCAGGTTTGCGGGCGCTCAGGCGCAGGGCTGCGCGCGGAAGCGAGGAGATGCAGACTGCCATATCGCGCCCTTCCCCCGTCGGGGCGGGCCCGACAGCGAGGGCGGGGGGCGTTTGAGCTACCGCGAGGCCGCGCGGAGTCTGATGGGTCTCTCTCTTTCTCCCTCTCTCTCTCTCTATTTATTTTTTCTCTTTCTCACTCTCTCTCTCTCTCTCTCGCTCTTTCTTTCTTTATGTCTTTCTCTAGCTCTCTCTCTCTCTCTCTCTCTCTCTCTGTCTCTCTTTCTATTTTTTTTTCTCTCTCTCTCTCTCTCTCTCTCTCTCTCACTCTCTCTCGTTATTTCTTTA